GCCCCCTACAGTGGAAGCTCGGATTCTTAACCACTGGACCACCAGGGAAGTCCCAAGATATCTATTTTTAAGTGGCCAAGAAAAAGTCTCTATACAAACATCCATCCCATGTACGATACAGTTGTCTGTCACTACCTAATGAAGCACGAACTAGTATTACACTGCAAGTCAATTACAAGGTAAAATTGCAAACAAATCTGGCAAAAAGATGCTGTGTTCCTTAAAGTCAATGTAAATAATAAAGAAGAATCACCCCAATTACAGACAAGGAAAAGTTGATCTAGGTCAACCAGTAAACAAGTGACAAATGATAAGGATACAGGACAGGAGCTTCAAAGAGTGATATGAACATCAAACGGTTAAGAAATGTTAGTGAATGACACAGTGGAGAGAGGACAGAACAAGACTGGCAAAATATCAGTGATTCTTTTTTATTGCAGGGGGAGGGGAGTAGCTGCACCTCGCGGGATGTGTAACTTCCCCAACCAGGGATCGAACCTGTACCCCCTGCAGCAGAAGCGCGGAGCCTTAACCACTGATCCACCAGGGAAGTCCCAATATCAGTAATTCTTGAAGCTAGGTGAGGAGTACATGGAAATTCAACTATTTTCTCTTTTTCGGTATACACCTGAAATTTTCCATAATGGATATTCTTAAAACAAAAACCTCAGTAAGACTGATTAAGTCCTTAAATATTTTCAAAAATTTATCCTCCTTATGATCATAATGAGAAAATGAAGCAAAATAAAGTACTCCATCTCCTATGGTACAATTTTGCTGGACAAAATTTTTAAAAATCTATTTGATTCTTGCCATATTATAACAAATAGTTGCCATCATAATAAAAAAATTTTTTTTTTAGTATTTACTTATTTGGCTGCACCAGGTCTTAGTTGCGGCATGTGGGATCTTCGTTGCCGTGTGTGGGCTCTTAGCTGCAGCATGTGGGATCTAGTCAGGGATCAAACCCAGGCCCCCTGCATTGGGAGCACAGAGTCTTAGCCACTGGACTACCTGGGAAGTCCCATAATCAAAATTTTGATAAAGGTTTAAAACTTACTTTTAAGGACTTCCCTGGTGGCGCAGTGGTTGGGAATCTGCCTGCCAATGCAGGGGACACGGGTTCCAGCCCTGGTCCACGAAGATACCACATGCTGCGGAGCAACTAAGCCCACGCGCCACAACTGAGCCTGCGCTCTAGAGCCCGCGAGCCACAACTACTGAGCCCACGTGCCACAACTACTGAAGCTTACGTGCCTAGAGCCCGTGCTCCGCAACAAGAGAAGCCACCGCAATAAGAAACCCACACACCGCAAGAAGAGTAGCCCCCACTTGCAGCAACTAGAGAAAGCCCGCGCACAGCAAAGAAGACCCAAGGCAGCCAAAAATAAATAAATAAAAAATAATATTAAAAAAATATATATATAAGTGTCTTTTCAAAAATAAATAAAACTTACTTTTATAATTCTTAATTTTACTTTTAAATATAAAATCCTAAATAAACCTTTTTCTCCTTATTTACTTATGAAATTTTAGTCCTCATTTTGAGTGTATTCATTTTTAGCAGTCTTCTTTAGATAAAGAGGATCACTAATATAAAATGTATGTCAGACCATCCTGGAGGCTGGCAACATCCTAAGAACTCTGAGGATCCCCAAATTCATGAATACCACCATAGCATAAATTAACTCTATTCATACTTATCTCCATGAAATATCTAAGTGAGGAAGAGTAGCAAACAAACAACTGCTACAATGAGCCTAGTGAGAAAACCATGAGTTACTTCAGGCCCAGGCAAGAGTGTCAGAGACCTTCAAAAGTCACTAAAGAAAACCAAGAGTACTCAGATAATTCTATGGTTTCAAGGGTTTCAGTCTTGTCTCCAATAACGTCAAGTGCCTTGAAGGTTGATCTACGTCTTCTATGACATCTGTTTTTACTACAAGGCTATGAAGACCCAATAAGATAATACAGACCAAAGCACTTAATAAACTGTAAGTTATTGACTGCTTTAACTTGGAGCTCTGGGGACCAACCTTCCTTGAAGATTTTTTTCAAGTATCTACAATGTACAAAGCACTGTACATTGTATATGTACATAGGCAGAAATTAGACAGTATCAACCCAATTATATATAAAAGCACCAGGTCAGGATTATTAACTGTAATGACAACCATTTCACATCACTGTACACAGAAAAAACTGAAGAACATGAAGGTAAACTGAAGAGGCTGCTCATTTATGACACGAAGCAAAAAGTCTGCTGATAGCTAGTTGTACAAAACAACTGACAATATGATGCTGAACTATGTGTCTTTCCCT